TGACAGACGAATGCAAGCTTGCTTGGCACATAGGCTGGAAGCTGCCTGCTCTGGAATCTGGATTTCTACAGCTGTTGAGAGGCCCAGTCCCAGACAAGCACTGCTTTCAACACCACAACTCTGGATCCTGTGGACAACCCAGCGCTTCCAGACCTGTCCTTGCCTGCTGCTCAGAAGGACTGAAGTGCTAACAGGGAGGGGGTGACAGACGTTTAACTAACTGGTTGTAAAATTTGCATCCCTGATGGCACCGGGTCATCAGTTCCATCCCAAGCACCTTTCCATCCCTTCTGACACTGGGTCCATGGCCAGGGCCAGTGCTGGGTCCCACGGTGGCATATTGTTGCATGCAGGCTGGAGCACTGAGGGAGGGGTCAGACGCTGGGGAGCCGTGGGAGAAAAGGGGCATTCTTCCTGGCACCCAGTCTCCCCCAGCACTGCCAACAGCCTGTTTCTGCTGTCTGTGGGAAGCTGGAGGAGCCAATTGGACTACCTGTCACAAAAATGCCTCCTGTGCACTGCTGGTCTTTGCCCCATATGCCCAGGACCCTTTTCTGCAATTTACATGTTTGAGGAAGCTAATTAGAGCTTAGGAGTCTGCCATTAAAATTCTGCTAATGGCTGGTTTTATTTGAATGATCTCTGAGAAAAGAGGGGAGAAGCATCCGTCAGTGAGGAAGGATGTAAGGCCTTCAGTTGTGGGTGTTGGTTTCAGTAACCACCCCCCAGCCTTCCCAAAGATCCACATTATCCCAGCATCCTCTGTTCACTAAGCTGTAATGTCAACACTGGCTTTGGCCCATGCAAACAAAGGTATCTCACAGGCCAGGGAGAACACCTTCAGACTCTGGCGGATGGCACACGTGTCCATGGTGGCAGCTGTACTGCAGCATGCTGTGGACACTCTTCTTGGAGCTCACTGGAGACTTAGGCCAGGCAGAAATGAGGACTGTCCTGGGCTGTTGCTGAGATCCCAAGCTGCTGGGCTGTGGGCACCTGAGACAGTCAACGCAGGCGAAGCGAGGGGCCATGGGTTTGTGTTCAGGCTTGCTCAGGCCATGGCAACAGCTTCACTTGACGTCAGGACCTGGACTCTGCTGTTGCCTTTTGGTCAGGAATCTGCTTGGGTTTACTAAGGCTCCTTCGAGCCCCTGATATCAGGATGTTGTCTGTGCGTCAATGCTGGGGAGATGCCTTCTGATCTCTGACTGGTAATGTCACTAAATGGCATACAAGGACTTATGGACACCAGTGTGATGTAGATATGTAGGCATTCTATTTACGGCCGGGTTCGGCAGGTGGTGGAAGCAAGCAGGCGATTCATTGTGATGATAGAGGAAGCTTCAACTTTATTGAAAGAAATTACACCTTATATAAGCACTCTACAATAATCATACATACTACTCAAAAATCTATTGGTTTAATGTAAAAGGTTACATTATATTATCCCAGCCCCTTTTGGCGTTTCTCAGACTCTCCTTCCGTTAGCATGAGTCCTTTGTTAGCATAACTGTGCCCTGAATCTCCTTCCTTGTTAGCATAACTGTACCCTGTTGTTTTTCCTTTGCTTACCTCAGGTGGCTGCAATCAGCTCCTGCACAGACCTATGGCATTATTCTATAATCCATTATACAACAATTCCCCCTTTTTCTTTTTGTGCAGGCTACACGAGCATAAATTTACTAATATTTCTCATTATACAACTATATGCTATTTTAATAATTACTACAATCAATAGTACTATTCCTAACCACCACAATAAACTGTTAAAGGTACCCTATTAAGTACAAAGCATCCCATACTACCCACATGCAAGGGATATGGCTAAATACTACAAAATATACAGGAAGGAAAGTACACTACTAACATTCAGATCCACAATGGCTAGGGAACCCTGGATGCAGTGAGAATTTAGAGTGCCCTTCCTCACAAACTGGAAACCCTATGTGATGCATCCATCTGTAGGTGAGGCATCCCACATCGCTGCAAGCAGGTCCAGCCTCTAAATCAACAGGCCAAAATAACTGGCAATTTTCTTTGAGCAGAAACATCTTATTTCATCCTCCTGTTGTGTTTCACCTGGAGCTTGGCCGATACTCCAGGAGGTAAACCAAGAGAGTTCTTAGAAATAATTAAAATCTTGAGCTCTTAATTCTTAACAGTACTAAACAAAGGAAGTTGAATACACACATTCTTACAGCATCTTATTACTACATTTTATCTAAACTACATCTTGCACAAGTGACTAGTAAGCCAATCTATTTCATTAAGGAGTTGTAATTACTCTTAGCATTTTTTCTTAAAATAATTGGCAACTGTAGTGTAGTTTGTTCCGTTGCAGTAGCAAACATTACCCAGACATTCTGTTTAAATATCAATCGAAGAGCTTGCAAACTGTCAGCACAAGGGCACTCAAAGCACCCACAGCTGGATCCTGAGTGCTGGCTGCCTCTCACGCCTCAGGTGTGGTTGCACACATCTTGCCGCTGACCACTGGAGACTGAGACCTACGAGACACAAGCATAACCTCTTCCCCAGGTTATTAAAGGAAATGGTCCTTCTCAGTTACCCCTTTCTAGTTTTTTTTTTCTTAACACTTGAGCTTT